TCGGCGCGTGCCGTGACAGCGCGCGTGCGCTGTGGGAGGGGGTGGTTGGAACCGAAGAGCGGGGTGCGTATCGACAGCGAACGGGGTGCCTCACGGAAGTTCGAGGGCTCGACTGTGTCCTTACATGGAATTTTATCCCAAGTTTGCATTTACACCAGCGAGCGAAGGGGCACTCAAACAGCCAAAGTGCGTAATAGTATTTCCATGTTCCACACCATTGCCAGGAAGCTGGCCGTGGCGCTCAGTCACGGTGCGCTTGCTCACCTGCCTAGTGACAAAGTCAAGGGAAAGTTGTGCAGGAGCAGTTAAGAGCTGCTTGACTTTTCCACTTTTGGGGTTTTATTTTTTCTTGACCATTCGTCTTGGTTTCATTTAGTACCTTAGAGGATCTTGCATTCAGTATATTTTTTTTATTTTCTTGAAGGCACATCAGAGAATTACAAAGGGAAAATGCAAAGCCAAGAAAAGTCATCCTTTTCTTCTAAGTATTCCAGAATAAGGAAGTACGGCCTCAATGGAGTTGTCTGTGCCATGTAAATGCTTTGAAGTTTTGTGATGGCAGAAGCTAGGTCTTCAGAAATTAAAAGACCACGAATAAGTTTGTCACTCAGTAAAAATAAGGAAAAAAAAGGAACAACAAAAAGAGTGGAAGGGAAAGGAACACCATCTATACCTTCAGCATCCTCCTCTATTATTTCCTTTTTTAACAATGTTACCCCTGCCAAAGTCAGCTGTCCCATATGTGGGCAAATGGTGCCAAGATACGGAATAAATGAGCACATGGATGAAACATGTCACAGAAACCGCCGTGAGGTTGGTGCCGTTGGTTCAACACGCAGCTCTTTTAGGAATGAGAGTGCCCCAGCTGCAAATGTGAACAATAATTCCAGCTCATATTTTTCAAAAAACCTCTTAAATCTAGAAACAAGTCCTTCCAAAAGCAATTTACTGAAAACAAAAGGGAGTGCAGCACAACAGATCAGTCCTTATTTTAGCAAGAATAGCCCAGTCTGTAGTGTTAACAATGAACCACAGGCTCAAACAGTTAAAGTAGTCTCTTTGGGAAGCTTGTCATCTAAACTGTCCAGAAGACGTCATATCCAGGGAGGAAGACAGATCGTGTACAAAGAGATCAGCTCTTCATCTCCAGATGTTCATAGTATGTGCAAAAGCACTGCAGCACAGGATGATGATGATGAGATTTATGCTGGGCATTGTTCTCAGAAAGAAAATCAGCTTGCTGAGAGAGACTGCCAGGAACAAAATTTTTCGAAGGAGGAACCTGAATTTCAAGAAGAAATGAACAAATGTAACGGAGAAGACTTTGTGGATATTGTTCAGGTATCGTTACCAGCTGATAACGTTAATGGCAAAAGTTTACTAGATTGTACAAGGAGCACCGAAACAGAAAGTAGGTCTGAAGGTGTGGTACTTAGTCCTGATAAATTTGAAACACATCTAGCCATTTGTACTTCAGCAGAGCTGACCAGTAGTTTGGAAGTCAAGACTCGGCCTCTCACTCAGATTATTCCTTCTTCCAAGACAGAAGCAAACTGTGGTACACAAAATTGCTTCAGCAAAGGTGATGTAGAGGTACTTCCTGTGGAAGTTCATGAAGACTTTAAAGATAAGATTAATCATACTTTGTCAGAAACTGTGGAAAAGGTAGAATTTCAAAATGCCATTGGGGACATTTTAGACAGAATAAATGAGATCAGCTCTGTCCCCAGCTCTCCTGGTCACCCATATTACCTCCAGAATTTTTTAGTTGTGCTGCGAGCAGTCTTGGAGAACGAAGATGATGTCAGACTCTTTGATGAGCAAGATATGAACATTATAACCAAGTTCTGCAAATTATCAGGTATCTTTTTTTTTTTTTTAATATATTTTCACATTACCTCTTGTAGAGAGAACTTTACGTAGTTTTATGTGAAGAGTGATATACCAATGAGCAATTTAACTTGATAAATTCCTTAAGGGAAGAAGCTCTTTTTTCTCAGGAGACGCATCCCTGAGTGTTTTCTTGTAGGTAAACTTTCCTAATGTTGCTTTAATGGAAAGTGATGCTAAATAGTAGAAGCTTGTAAGAAATAAGGAAAGAATGATCATGTATATTTCTGGTTTTCTGGAATACTTTTTTTACTGTGTTAGTACTATTTTTTAGAGTCTTAAGTCATCTTGCTGTTGCATTTAAATGTTTCGAAGGAAGGAAACTCATAGCACAGAAAAAGTGTGTTAGTTAACACCAAGCTTTTGATGATTGTTACGTATGGGAATTTTACAAAATGATATTGTGAAGAGGCCCGTGCTGGTTACATAGACATTGAAAAAAGTACTTCTGAAGTGGCATTTGTGAGCTTCGATTCAACACATTTACAGATTACTTTCATGCTTGGTGTGAATCCATGGATATCGCTATGATCGTTATCCAGTGTTTAGAATTCTAGTTACCAATTAACTGTCCTTTTCTTACAGGTTGCTTAGTACTTTTAACTCTCATTAAGTTCAGTAGGAGCCAGAAGTTGGGATATTTAAGCTCTCAGTATTTAGACGAGATTCAAAGCAGACATGCTGTCTGAGTCTTGTACTCCTAAGTTTTACAGTAAAAGCATGGCAGAAGCAATGCAAGTTAAAACTAACCCTCCAAATTTTTATGTATGTTTATAACTTGTCTTAAACTGCAATTAAGAGTAGTTTTACCAGCACTTGATCTGCAAACATGGAGCATCAAAATGGGAATAAACTTACAAATTTTCTTATGGAAGTTGTTATATCTCCGAGTATTGCAGGCATAACCATTTATATTGTTTTAAGCTACTATGGTAATATATAGCTGCTTGACAAAGTATTTTTAGGTATATGCTCATATGAACTCAGTTCGCGCATCTGAGCTGAACATGCAGAAGTGACAGTTGCATACATACCTGCTGGTAAAAATTAAAAAAAAAAAAATCAGAAGCGGGCTGCACTTACTAATGTATTGCTTTCATTGAGTTTGGCTTAACTAGCAGGCTGTAAAGTTTATCACACTAACTATCAGTATTTCCCTGTGTGAAACTGTTGCATAGTTTGGTCTTTTTCCTCTCTCTAGATTATATTCATTTTTTCTGTGCTAGAGTACAACAGTCTTCAGACTGTTTTGCCATTGCAAAGTGGAAGAAAACTGTTCCAGCTGTTCATAGCATTTTAGTCTCTTAATATTTGTTTCTATAAAGTTCCATATGATATTCTAGATTGATCACAGGACATTATAAAAGAGAGTATCAAGGTCATGACTTGTGATAAGCAATTTTGTGACATTTTTCCAAGGCCAATAGGAAACTTTCAGTAAGTGTTTTTCTGATAACTTGTGTAGATGTGAAGAATAATAGAACGAGGTTAGGTTAGTTAATATGACATCACAAGGTTTTTAATACAGGATACTGAGATTTTTAGGAAGAAATACAGCCCTGATAAGTAGTTCACAATCTCAGTTCCTTAAAAAAATTGAGTCAGTATATATCTGTTCTCTAGGAAGTACTTAAACTGTGGTAGAATAACCTCTGAAGTTTCTTTTTTGACTTAAGATCTTCCGAAGTTTAGCAACTTGAAAGGGCCATATGAACATTCTTCGTTTGCCCTAGTGGAAAAGTCAGCTGAGCTGACTCAAACCACCTTAAGAGATGGTTGCTAAAAACATGAAGAAACTCCAGAGGAGGAAGTAGGGCTCTAAGCTTATAAAGGTATTTCTGCAGTGGTTACCTGGTCACAGTTAAGCTCTTACAGATTATATTGTAATAATTACAGATATGCAGTAACACCAAACATTTAGAAAAATAAAGAATAGTACTAACGTAAGTTACAAGAATATTGTAATTAAAATGAGATGATAACATAGGACTGTATTTGTCAGGGAGCAGCAAGAGCAGACTACTGTGCATGGGAAGATGAGCCAGGAGCCAAAGGGGACAGCAGGGCAGGCAGAGGCCATGTCCTCTCCTCACCTACAAGAAACACAAGCCCACACTGCCCAAAGAAGAAGAGCAAAGTGGATCCAGTGCCAGTACTGCTGTCAGCCATGCTCCAGTGGTGGCAGGTCTTCAGGCAAGTCCGTAGTGACCAGGCAGGTGCAAGGTGAAGCCAAGCCAGCAAGGTGTCTGGCTGGACACTGGCATGCCACTGCAAAGCTTAGGCAAGAGTGTAGGCCACCCACCTGAGCTTAAGTAGAGCTCCCAGGTGACCTGAGGGAGGCTCTGACAAAGCCTCACCCAGCTCTCCCCAGCAGCCTGAGCCCAGTTTACACAGCTGTGCTGTATCAGAGCTGACCTTGAACACAAGCAGCCAAACCTGTGGGGGCTGGGACGGGGTTGCAGAGCCTATTGGTGTGCTCAAGGACATAAGAATATTACAAGTTAACTTTCTCCACCTAAATCTGCATAGAGTGACATCTTGGAGCTTGACAATGCCTTGTTTATGTTGTGATAGTTAAAACGGGAGTGTATAAAGAAAGAATGGAATATAAGGAGCAAAACTCTTGTTATTGGCTCTCTGAGGCAAGCAGTAGACGCGTATCATTTACATCCAAAGAACACCTAGGAATAAACGTACAGTTAGGTCATTAGTGGATGCAGGCGTAGGCTTTCACAAATACTAAAAGATACATTCAGGATACAGCCTCCTTATTTCCACACTACCTTCTTTGGACGAGTACAACACTGGTCAGTAATACCAACTTGTTCTGTTAAATAAAGGAAGTGCTTGTTTCTCTTTCAATAGTGTGATTTCAGTATTCTCCTGTCACAGGAGTTCAGAATATAGAAAGAATTACTGCAAAATGTCTGCACTGACTGATAGAGTCACAAATAAAACAATCTCTGTTTGCAGGGTAGGAAAAATGCAACGATTCAGCTATGAGAAGTGATTGGACAGTATTAAGTCAATAGATAATGAATTCTGGACAAGTGACAGATGGATGTCTTTACCTTCAAGAAATCTTAGTCTGAATACTTTAAAAGTTCAGTTAGATGAGTTGGCCCTGCCAATTTTTTAAGTACTGGAAACAGTAATTAAAAGGGAAATGCAGAGGTGTGTCCATAACAAGTAATCTGCAGTGAAATGTCAGGCTTTGTGCTCAAGATGAGATCTGTCTGAACTTAGGTGTAATATTTAAAAACTACTTTTTGTATTCTCCATGTTTAATTTCACCACATGTTGCCGTTGGGAGGACTTAAATGCAAGCACATAGTTCTAGTGACACTACTTAATACACCCTGGGAAATCCTCCTTCCAACTTTTGTACAACAGAAAAATGGTATCTGAGAAACATTGATTTATAGTCACCAGTGGAACTGAGATACAGAAAACTGAAAAAGAAAAAATAATGTAAATTTTTTTCTGTTGCATTGTAATGAATCATAGTGTCAACTTAGTTCTAAGATTTTCTGCATCTTTTTGCTGATAATATTTCAGCTTAGAGCAAATTTTTCATTTCAGTGATACACCTGAAACTTTCTTAAGAACTACAAAAGAAAAAAAATCCCCCAAAACTTCAGAGGTAATGTACTGCAGGACAGGATGTGTAAGAAGCAATTAATTATTTGTGCAATACCTTTTTATTCTTCCATTTGTCATTCTAATCCTTTAGAGAGTCCTCACATGCCTTTACTAAATTGCAGCCCTAGTTTGGTCAGATTCCATGGAGAAAGGATGTTCATGTGTTACTTGACCTTCCTTTCTCCAGAGTTGTGAAAACTAGAGACAGATGTCAAAGAAGTTAAAACCACATAGGGAAAAAGACAAGCTTACACGTCCAAATGTAGTTCTCTCAGGGAATTGATCCTGGAAACATTCTATTAAAAAAAAGGCTGGAAAAGTCTTTTTAAGGACAGGAGATTAGTTAAATAAGCATGTACATATTAACTGCCATTTCTTAAATATATCTAGGTCTGATACTGTTTCAGTGTCTGTTTTTATTAATTTTCAGCTTCAGTTAAGCAGCAGCAGACAGGGATAAAAAAATTAGAAGTTAATGTGGGATGAATGAAGTATTCAAAAGGGTGCTGAATGTAGCAACAATAGCTAGACTATTTCAGCTAAGATGTAATAAGCTGTTTTGTTGAATTTCAGCATTGTTAGTATTTTAAACATATTTTTAAAAGGTACTTTAAGAGAGCACTTTTCTGATAAACATCAAATTGATAGGAGTTTTTTTCCCTTTTTTCAGTAGATATGTTAGTAAAATTAATCTTATCTTTGGAAAAATAAGAATCTGAAGACTACTGCACAGAGAAGTATTCTGTGATTATGAAATCATTCTGTCAGACAAGAGCTTCTTTTCTTCCCCAACATCAAAGAGCTGGTTACTGAATGAGTGTTAAAGAAAGCAAAAAGACCTATTTAACATCACGATATGCAGAGTTTGAAAAATGAAGTTGTCTTTTCTTAGAAAACAAATTACTTCTTAAAGGGTAAGCATATCCAAAATACATTTTGGTAATGTTCATTATCTACAAAATACATTGTAATAATGTTCTAGCTACAAAACTTAAAGATTCTAATGAGCAAATACTACTGGGAAAGGTAAGTTCTGGTATTTTACCAAGTCTACTTGTAGAACACAGGCAGATTTAAAATGTGTTTTAGAGGATATTTGCATCAAAGTGGTTTTTCTAGGTGAGACAGTATGCATATACATAGTACTGTTTTAGAATTTAATTTTCTTTTTATCCTTCCCTGCTTTAAATAAAATTTGCAGTTGGTGGGCAGAAGTTATATGTGAGACTTTTTCAACGCAAGCTGAACTGGTTAAAAGTGAATAAAATAGAATATGGAGAGATAAGTATGGATTTGTCACCAATAATTGAAGAACTGGCTGAAGCCAGATTTCTGCAAACAGGTATGGCCAGCATTAATAAATGTTAAAAATATTACAAATCAAATCCGCAGTTGGGTCATGTTAGAGTTTATTGCGCTACATGCTTGTCTGTGCCCTGAGAACAGAATTAGAGGAGCAGAATAAAGGTTTCAGGCAGATGGGTTGTGTTGTGTTACGTTAATAATAAAAGCAGTTAGTGCAAATTAGGTCACAGGGAGAGCTAAGGAAGTGTCAGGGCTGAGGTGCAACAGTAGGCCTTACTTGCCCTCAGCAACCTCACTCAGACCCCCACCTGTGCAGCCTCTGCGTGTTGGTCCAAGAGCTCTACTTAATGTCCTTCAGTGCTGCCCTGAGCTGTCTTGCAGGCACCCTGTCCCTCGCCTTGTCCATCCCTGGCTGGCCAGACCTCCAGCCAATGCTGCAAATGTTTGTTTCCAGCCTTGTCTGCGATCATGTGCTGTGGATGGATCTCAGGTGTAAGCCGTAGTCTTCTCTGTAGTCTTAACGTCTGGCTCGTCTCTTAGATCAGCCCTGGGCCTGATTCGTCATCATGCCTTTTCTGGGTCTGCCAGTGGAATCTGTTATCAGGACTTGTGCTCTGCCCATTCTGTTCATTCACAGTGGGGCTGCACCAGGGTTGGTGATGGCACTGCCAGTGCTGTGGTCACTCTTGACTTCTGGCTCATTCCCCCTCCCCCTGGTCAAGCAGCTCTGCTATTGCTGTTCCCTGGCAGCATTTTTTTTTTTTTTTTTTGCATGCCGCAAAGTTTTGATCATCAGGAAGGCAAGTTTTTCTGAACAGCATTTTTTGTAACTCAGCAGAATTTCCTTATATTTGCTTTTGGTTTGAAGTTACAAAGGGATTTTTTCTGGTTACTCCATTCCTTCAAACTGGACCTGTGAAGAGAATGAATTTCAAGCTGAACCAGCTAGCGTTAATAAGACAGGTTTAAGAATCTAAATCATTAGATTAGGACTAGGTTATATGAATGTACTGTACTTTGAGCTGTTGCTTGAGTGTATATGTATAGCACATAATGAATATATGTGGATCATTTTACTTTTAGAATCTGAACTGGAAGACCTGTGTGAAGGGTTGGATTTGCTTTCAGCCCCTGAGCTAAAAACATTAGCAAAGGTCTTTCACTTGCCAAACCCAAATGGTCAGAAACAGCAACTGGTGGAT